TAACAGGAAACGAAAGATAATCTTTCTTCCACATGGAGAATCTGCTTTTAGAGCTCAGTGACACGATTGACTATCATTAGTGATTCAGAAGAGCACGAATGTCAGACTGCAGTAGCAGGTCTCCACCTCCTCCATGACTAACACAACACGATACACTTAAATAACAGTCTTTTAAAAACTGAAGAAGAGTCTCCAAACCATCATTGTGAAAGCGACCAAAAGGTGACAGTCCTAGTCCTTCAAAGAAAACACTACAGATTGGTTCTGTTCTTTTATCATATTTTAATTTCTTGCAAATACTGGGACAGCTAAATTCTCATTTTCACTAATGTTCATTTTAATAGATTCAAGCAGGCGGTAATCTGTTTAAATTGGAAGCACACGCTGACAATATGGTCAGCAATATCCAGTGACAATTGACTGATTGTCACTAAAACCTAATTAAGTCCCAGAGAGTTAGACAGATAAAACGTAAGGTCAATTTGCAGCTTACCATCTTTACAATTTAGCCATTTCCCGACTCATTTACCTGTACTTCTGTGTAGGAGTTTTTCTGCACACCAAAAACAAACCATAATAAAATGCTTAGTTACACATCTCTGTTCATTGGCAGAGACAGAGTTTGAATAATCTTTAACATTTAAGATTTTATTGGATTGAATAGAAAATTCTAAACATGAAAATTCTGAATATTCTGAAGGCATTGACATTGGGGAAAAAAAAGCTTCCTTCACATTACATTCTAATTTTACAAACATTTACTTGTACATTTACTCTTATACATTTGTACAGTTCTTATTAGTGCAGATTTATTGTGCTGTGTCCATATTGCATCAGAATGTTAGGCAAAACTTTTTTTATGAAAAGAATGCAGCAAGCTGCAGTTACTCTGAGTTTCCACTGGAAGGCATATTGTATGACACAGCTGGTTCATTGGAGGTCATCCCTCCAGATGTGAACACGTTATAGTGGAAAGTAGCAGATGCATTGCAGGCAATCCAGTTTGCAGAAACCTTCAGCCTCGCACCATAAAGCACCTGTCTCCATATGAGCAGACATGCAACTAAGCACTGTTGACTGCTTTGGAGAACTCCTTCATTTTTTACCAGCTAATCCTTATCCAGCTTGGCCATATTAAACATTAGTATTAAAAGAACCATAAAATTGTCCCACTAGGAAAGTTCACTGAACATGGTAGCTTGCACAAGAGCACAGGCTTTGTTTCAGATGTGCATTAGCCAAGTGGTTCAAGGCTACAAATGAGTTTTTTCACCTCATTTAATAGGATCATAAAAGACAAGTGAAAGTAACAAAACACCGTGCCATGTAAAACTATGATTCACCAAAATATGTTGGGGAGAATGATTTAGACTGAAGGACTGGAGTGTTAAGTGAGATCCTATTATAATAATTCTTTAAGCCAGCTGTAAAGTAATTTTTGTCTCAGTATTTTGTTATTTAATATAAACAGACACCACTGTGGTAAGAAATACGCAGCAATGTGTTTCTTTAGTGTATGTTTTGATGTGAAAGAAGGTTTGACATCTTTGCCAGGAACATGTAAACCAATGTTTTGCAGATTTTTAGTGAAGGTTGGCCATGAGGGTTTTACTCTTGAATGTACTCCAACCATAGCACAACAAGCAGAAGGTGAGTGTTTTTCTGCGGAAAATGAGATGTGTGCTGGGAAGGAAGAGGGACATCAGCTGCTGCTGCCATAGATCAGTAGTCAGACAATGAGCCTTTAGAAAGTGCTTAAGCCAGTGGAACATGTGGAGGAATTTAACAGACAGAAGACCTTACACCACAGCAAAGCCCCGGTATTAATAACACCCCATGTGTTACGCATTACCGGATGCCTGACTTTGTTTTCCTCAGGAACGTCTTGGGGCTTGCTAAGCACAGACAGAAAATGAATGGCACAGCCTTGAATTTTATTAATAATTAAACAGATGCCTTGTAGGGAACAAGAAAATTATATATACACATCCAGACACACATATCCACATATATATAAATACACATGGCTTTTAAACCTTTTTTTCTAGGTATAGTTTTCATATTACATGTGGTTTATATATTTCTCAGTTGTGTCTGATTTTGATTACAGTGTATTGACGGGCAGACATAACATTACATCATACATTATTACATAAAGCACCAAATGAATACAAATGAGTATTTGGAGCTATAGTTCCCATTCTACTTAAAACCACTAGATCCTTTGTTAGAATAAGATCTTCAAAATGCTATGATATCTATGTATGTACTGTAGGTGTGATACAGGTACAAGAAAACCCTTTTTCTGTCTTTGCTGAACTATTTGTTAGAGATGTTAACTATTTTGTGCTTTTTTCCTTTCTATGATTTAGTGTTTTTGTGACTACTGTACCCTGTGTCCTGTTTAAAAATATTTCAGTACACTTCATGTCGACCCAGCCAGGAGTAAGAAGGCCTCTGTGATAGAGTTCCTCTTATTTACTCATGTCTCCACTTGTTTACCCTTTAAGTTATAGCTCAGAAAAAGTCCTTCATATCTATCCAAACCTTCCAGCTTCTGGCACTTATTGAAAGGAGCATACATTCCAATACAGACTCTTGGCAACATGAAAACTGTGCATCATCTTGAACATAACACAAATTAATTCTGAATGTATTTCCTGTCTTGCATAACTGAAAAGACTCTTCATCCTCCCCTTTCCCCAGAACAGCCTTCAGGTCTCATAAGCTGTTTCAAAGCTTGAGAGTGTCAATCGTTTCCATCATTCTTGTCTTGATACAGCAGAATTGCCCAAAAAATAAACATCATTTTAACATTTTTTGTGAAACACTTTCATGAGAACGTCATTTCAGAAGTCCTTCTGTAGACTCATTATATGTTGTTATTAAATGCCTCCAGTAGAGCCACTGTATATACTGTGTATTACTGTAACGTCTTTTCAGCTGTTTGTCCAAAGAACTTTAGCAGTAGTGATTTAATGCATCGAGATTTTTGCTTATAGTCACCCTCCTGTAAACAATTATGATAGCTATACAATTACAATTAGTAAATTATATCATTCTTAATATTATTTGGTCCATCAAAATTAGAACTTGAAACACTGAAAATATTTACATCGATTGTACTATTGCACGTACATAAAAATTAAATTGAAATTCATTAAAGTCAAATATAGCACAAATATATGAAATCTACTGTAGGTTGATTTCAAATGGCAGGAAAGCTAAGCTGAATGTTTACCCTGCACCCTACAGTAACTTAATCCTTCAGCTTTTTTGTATCAATGTACATGTGGAAAGGATACATTCAAGTACTGATGTGGGCTTAAATATTCAGCAATAAAGTGCATGCAGCTGTGCTCAAAATATTTTGTAGGAACAAGTAATAAAGACAGATTAAACCACAGACCATGCACATCGAGATCTAGCATTATGTTTCTTGCCAAACAGGCTTCATAGTAGCTGTGGGTTTCAGAATGAACCACAGGACAGTCTGAGAACCACATACTTTGGAAACTTTTTTGATGTGTTAAGTGAACGAAGATTGTCATTTGAAAAGTGAATGAAGCCTTAATAAAAAAAGAATTGGAATGATTATGCACAGCCTGCTGACTTTCTTTTGACAGAAATTGTCCCAACAGCGACACAAGGTATACATTATTCTCATAGTCCCAGAAGTTTGTTTCATCCCTCATGCTATGTACAGTATGTGGTGTCAGAGTAAGAGCTTGCTGACACTGCAGATGTGATGCATAGCTTTTCACCTGACACTGTTGAGATGATAATAAGCTAAACTGAACCAGCTTAATAGCTTTTAAAGTTCTTATGCTGTTGATGATTTTAAGAGACCTAGAGAATGTGCTAGATTCTAGCCCGAGAACTGGGGTGCTGCCCCAATGCTCTGTACAACACTGCATTGTAAGAATACACATTTAATAACATTTTATTTTAAGAGACTGTTCATGAATAAAGGGGTTTTAGAGACTTGTGAAAGAACTGAAACAGATTTTATGCTTTCAAGACTTTCTTCATGAATAATATTATCAGCTACAGATTGTCTTTGTGGTACTGTTGGCAATTCCATTTTAACTGGTGAAGTTTAGAAAAGTAGGGCATCATTTGTTTCAGAGTTTCCCAAACTAATTCATTATAGTTACCCTGTGACAACACAGTAACGTACAATATCTTGTAATGTTTTAATTACAGTGTAACATACAGAACAGTACATGCATACTAAGCATACACACTATGTTTTTTCCTACCAGACAGAATATAGTTTGTCTAAGAATATTTCCACTCAATAGGAACATTTGATGTACTGTACAGTATCTGCACTCCTGCACTCATCGTTAGTATCAAGCTGTCTAACCTCCTGTAGCTTTTAAAGTCTGTCTCTCTCTAACTTAAGAGTATAAAAGAGTTCTGGAATGTCTTATTAGTTATTTGGGATCATGCATTTTCCAGGTTGCCGATTGAGAAATCCGTGTGGCATCTGTCTTCTGGCACAAGTTTCAGACTTTTTTTGACTTTTTTTTTTTAAATCTCTTGCATCTTTCTGCTCAGTGCATGTAAAGAAAGATCACATAAAAAGTCAAACTAGATAATGACATGCTAACAAAGGACTTATATGACAATTAAAATAAGGATTCAAATCTGAATTGATAATGAATTAAATATGATAGGCTCCAAAAAATAGGAATGTTGGGGATGTACAGAATTGTCTCTTGGCTTTTTTTTAATTTCTCTGTTTTCGTTTAATACTTTTTTTACAAGTTCAACACATCTGACATTATGTTGTTGGGTTAATCATGGCATTAATGTTACTTACTAGATTATCAGTACATAATGTGGAACATAACCATTATAGGACACTGAAAGTCACAATGGAAGATATGGCAGAATGACATAAATATGTTTTGAATGCTGATGTTTTTCAGCATTTTGGCTGTGAGAGGGAAACAGCATGAAGCTAAACTGGAAAGGAATTCAAACCAAAAGACTTTGGCTACAAAAGGAACTTTTTATTTTTAGACGTTCAGATGTTTTTTTAATATTTTGTGGAGACAAAAGTTCATTAGTACAGTATGATACAACTGTGTGGTTTGGCTGCTGGAGTTGTATTTGCAATTTGTTTCAGAAATACATGTCTTGGATAAAATGAACTAGACATTACCTTTCGGCTTTCTTTTGCTTCGGTTCATACCATGCACACATGCTACATTTATTGAAAAAGCTCTTTTAAAAAATAAAACATGGAGTATTTTAATCTAATTTATGAGGGCCTCAATATACTACAAACAAAATCATCACTGAACATTGCACCAAACTGTGACTATATCACTGAACATGAAATGATTCATTTTTGTTGTTGTCAATTTGATTCATTATTAGCCTTTGGCATGAAAAAGCATAGAAATATTCACTTACCCAAATATTTAGTCTGTATTTTTTTACATTTTTGAGTAAAAGGTAAGAAAAACATTGAAAGACATACACCCGCTGAAATTTCAAGTGTAAGAATACATTCCACAGAAAAAGAATAGCTTTCAATGAGTTAACAAAAACAGCTGGCTTGAATAGCTTTAAAGCATTTCTCTCTTTAAAGAAGTTACTTGGCACGGTTGAGTTGCCTGCTGGAGTGACTTCTTACAACCTTCTGAAATAGGTCCTCTGAAAAATGATAAGAAGAAGAGATAAAAAAATGAATTGACAAGACCATATGCTAAAGAATGACTTTTCACAAATATAAAGTAAAGATTAAAAGTAATTCAGGGTTTTTCTACTCTGCTGATAGTAAGAATGTTATTATGCAATATGGTATGTTAAAATTAGTTTTTAAAGCCTGTATTTAAGTTCAAAGGCAGTGCAATTGTTTTTATTTTGTTTTCTAGAAACAGGATTATAATTCCCAATATACTAAAATCTTTTGTGTTGTTTCATATAGTGTTTCTCTGATGGATACTCGATTTTCTGATTTCATTAGGAAGGAAAACTAGAATATGTTAAATAATAAATAAATATTGTTTACCATTTCTCATGACCACTTCTGGTGACTGGAAAAGAGAAATCAATAAACAATCATTGTAAAAATAATTAATAATAATAATAAAAAGAAGAAGAATGCTGTTCTAAAAACCTGTGTTCAGTGACAATATTAATAAACTGAAAACACTTTAAGGCTTGATATTTTAACACGATGACTGCAAATTAAAAATGGTTAATTGAAAAAAACAAAAATTGCAAATAGAGAATAGATATTTAAATGCTTAAAGGTGAAGACTAGTTTGTTTCTTTCAGAAGGAGTTTGTTCAGGATTATGAATACTGAAATGCTTTGTAAACATATGTATACACTCTGTAGAAGCCATTATCAGCAATTCATTTGTTTTTGTTTTGTTTAAAGAAATAAAACAAAATTTAATAGGATGCTATAATATGAAATATAGACAATAGTAAGCAGCACATTAATATTAAGGATGTTAACTCCAGAATGGCCCTTCTTGCATAGAAACTATGAAAAAAACACACAAAGAACTGCCAATACACCTCTGTCCTAGACTGCCAGAAAGTGCTTTTACAGCAGCAATAACCCTTTATTATGACAGGTTGTTTATTATACTGCAAGTAGTTTCATTTCTTTTGATTGTGGCCAAATAGCAGCACATATAATAACATAAGACAGCAGAGAGTGAGAACAATACTGACCTTATCCTGATCTTTTCAAACAAATTCTCAATCTTAATGAACAGATTTAGAGAAAATGCCATCTATTTTCCTTTGCTTTTCAGTTAGAGTTCAAATGTGTGTTGTGGCAATCTACACTCCTAATGTCACTAAACTGTTTTGACCAGTGTGTTCATCTCAATCACTTTTCTGAGCATCATGTTAGAAGCTGTATGTCAATTGAAACTGAAATGTGATCCTTTACACAATGAGACTTGTAAGTGTTGGATGACTAAGAAGTCTGTGAAAGTACCACAGAGATGCAGTGTGCTAGTGGTAAACATCATGAAGTGTTTATTAATTTCAGAAAGATAACTCACTCTAAAAGCAGAAGCTTGTCTGAAGTCATGTTGACTTGAAACACTGGGGTCATCTCCTGAAGTCTTGGCAGCTGGAATACACAGAAGGATTTAAAAACCAACACAAGTCGGTGATGAAATCTTTGACTAAACAAGCCACTATGAGTGTTCACATAGACATGGTAATTGTAATGGGCTTGTATAACAAATAAAATCTGAATGTTTTAAAGTATGTTGTTTACAAGCGACAAATGATACATTTTCATATTAATGGTTAGTGTTCCATTTTTTGGTGTTGCTTTTACAATGGCATACCTCTGTTTACAAAAATTTAGACAATCATTTACTTTTCAATCCCAATTTAACATAGGAATAGTGAATGACAAAAATATGGAATATAAGTAATGGTGCCGCTGCTAAAATTTCTAAACTAGACTGTTCGCTTCTTAAATTAAGATCTCTTACGAAGTGGCTGAATGACAGAGCCAACAGCGTGGACAACTCCATTGGTGGCCATCATGTCCGCTTCATTCACAGGCACTTTGTTGACATACACTGTGTAGTTTTTCTGAAGGAAAAGTCAATGTTTTTAGTAACTGGCATTCAGATGAAAAAAACAGGATTGTAAAGTATATGCTAAACATACTAAATATCTAGATCCTTAAAATCAAGTAGAATGTTTTTATGTTGTGTGAGGATATTGCTGTTTTATTTTTAAACATTTTTGCAATTGTTTTTCTCCATGTGTGGAATGAGCAAACCTTCAGATATAATTGGCACCTAGGCTCCTATGTCTTCCTCTGATGTCTTCCTCAGAACTGTTATCATGAAAGCTAGGCATGTCATGTACAGAATGAATGGATGAGAAATACACCCACACATGCCAAGAAAATGGATGTAAAGGACAGGGTGTTCCTCACCTTTGCAACATTTCAAAGGAGCCACGTGAGGTTTCACATGTCAAGGAAGAAAATGCAGTTTGAGACTCACCATGCTGAGCTCCAGACGTTCTCCCTGTAGAGGTTGTATTCTGGTGTGAGAGCCAACCCCCCCACTGACCAGGATCTCCTGTCCAATGTGGTACTTCAGGACATTGGCCAACTGGCGAGGGTTTCCTGTAGTATGAATAAAGGGAATCAGGGCTCAGAAAATACATCATTAAGAAAACATTTTGATTAGAACTGTAATAAACATTCCCATCTTCCTTTTAATATCTGTCTGCTGGATCATATGCTGGAATCATTACCACATACAGATTATTGATTGGTTGAAATCAGCAATATTCACTCCTGGTCTTGGGGGATTGTAATTTCTCCTGGTTCTCATTCCACCCTGGACTCAGATTAATAACTTTATTTAGATTCAACTTTCATTTAATTTTTCTTTGTTACAATGATTCCAATGATTCTTTCTTATTGATTAAAAATGATTTAGAATACCTGACTTCCGCCCTGAAGGACCAGGAGTGATTATCACTGGTTAAGACAGAAGACGTGAAAGTGCCATTTGGCGCACAACAGGTTGCCCTCTGGTTAGGACACCCTGTCCATTACAGGGAAAGAGAAGTAGTGTCACGGATGTCACCCGCGGGTTCAAAGTATAGTTCAACATTCTGTCATGGATGTTGGAAAGGCATGCCGTGGAATGACAAGGAGAGCAGTAGAGACCCTCTGTGTATCGGCAAAAAGGGGGAACATGGAGGTTAGCCCAGGCTCAGGGGGTCGGACAATGTCGCTATAGAAACCTATGAACTCAGGACACAAACGTGGAAATCCTGGTAAAAGGCATGACTCACAACATCTATATCCTCAATGCTGAGAAAGGAGGAGAGCAGACACAGGAAGTACATAGGTTACACTCCAGAGAAGACACTCCAGAAAGACATGAATAATCACAGCAAACTAGGAACAGGACAGAAGTAGAGGGCCCTCTAGATGTACCAGGCATGATAGTACCCCTCCCCCTTCAAGGGGAGGCTCTTGACGCCCAAAAAAGAGCTGCACAGCACTGGGGGGAGGAAAAACCTCATTTAACTGAAAGGAAACCTCCAGGAGTCCACAACTGAGAGCTACCCCCTCCTCTGGGATAAAAAACCTTTATTGAGTAGAGGAAGGGGGGGGCAGACCGGGTTCTGGAGGAGCGAGACAAAAAAATCAGACCAAACACATAAAAAAATAAGCACAACAAAAAATAAACCCTGACGGAACAGGGGAAAAAACAACACATAAAAAAAAGAACTCACAATAGACAGGGATACCAGGGGGCATGGAAGCCCAGACCAGGGGCCACGGAAGCCCGGAACCAGGGAGACCAGCGGACATGGGAGCCCGTGGACAGAGAGACCGACAGGCGTGGGAACCCGGGACAGAGAGACTGGGGGGCCTGGGGGCCCGGGACAGACAAAACACGTAAAAAATCACTCACAACAAAAATAAACCCTGGTAGAACAGGGGAACAAACAACATGTAAAAAATAACTCACAACAGATAGGGAGAGCAGGGGGCATGGAAGCCCTGAACCAGGAGTAAAAATTCCAAAAACCCGGGAATTAAAAAAGCCGCTCGCGGGGTCTAGTGTAGGCTCAGCATTCTGTCACGGATGTCGGAAAGGAATGCCGTGGAACAAGGAAAGCAGTAGAAACCTTATGCGTAGCGACCTCTAGGTGTAACAGCGTGACAGTACCCCCCCTCCCCCTTCAAGGGCTGCTCCTGACACCCAAAAAAGAGCTGCACAGCACTGGGGGGAAAAAAGAAAAACCTCATTTTACTGAAAGGAAACCTCTGGGAGCTACCCCCTCCTCCGGGGTAAAAAACCTTTATTGAGTAGAGGAGAGAGCAGGAGAGAAGTAGAGAGCTCCCTAGGTGTACCAGGTGTGACAAGTAGTGGATGTATTTGAATATCTATGTATTAAGATCGCAGTCTCATCCAAGCATAAAAACAACAATCCCTTTCCTTCTGTTTGATGAATAAAAACCTTCATCTAAGTTGAAGGGCAAATGTGAAGCTTACTTTTTGGATGATGAAAAACACAAGAAATTAATCAATACAGCATGTTCTGCTCTGCGGTGAATAGGCGGACACAGAATGGATGTGCGATAAGTGAAAACAGAACAAATTTAATAGCCATTTAAATAAAATGTTTTGTTACAAGGAAATAAAAAATACCACCAGATTGCATCTGGACGTATTGGAAACTGTACTCTTTTAGATAAATGTAAAAAGAGTTCACAAGAGGAAAGTGCATCCCACAGTGTTTGAAAAAAAAAAACATAGAAGTGTTTTATTATTTTGCAACACCTGGTGAGCTGTTCAACTTCCACTTTCAGTCTTCCACTTTTCATTCTTAACTGAAATACACAATATGGCCTTTCCTGTACATTGCAATTAGTAGCAGAATGGTCCCTGAGAAAGAGGATCCAGATGGTAAGCATCATATTCTGTACTGACATAATGTGACCTAAAACCACTAACAATTTACAATACAGTACAGCTAAGAGACACCAGAATAAAGTCCCAGTTTAGTCACTGTTTGGAATTGGAATACGTAATGTTCTTTTTCTGAATGATGATAATGTTTGGCTTTCTTGGGAAACAATAAAACATCTGAGAAAGGCTTTGGAATAAATTTAAACAAATAAGAAACATGTGCCTAAATAGCTTATTACATATATTTTGTGTCTTAATGTGAAATGTTTTGGGCTAAATGGGCTCAAATTTGAGTCAGCTGCAATTAAGATATTCTTTTTTCTAATCTGAGTCCATTTTTGAAATATTCATCAAAAATCTTTGGTCAATATAATAAAGAGTAGGATAAATCTTCCAAGCCAGGTGATATTTGACAACATATATATAACAAATATATAACTGCAATAACTGCCATATATAACACATTTTATAACTGCCAGTTACAAAATACAACAGTTAAAATGGATACAACAGTTGTCTATCTCATGTGTAGCATGGGTTAATTTAGCATGGAAAGAACCAATTCACCCTTCCAGAAGAGCTTTTTAGTAAGTTCATGTAGACAGGAAGCTTTTACATAACTGTCTACATGAAGAATATTTGTAAAAGCCACGCTGTTGTCTCATTTTGGCCATATAAGTCCAATGGTAGTGCTAAAGTTGTTAACATATCTCAAGAGCAATCCATCTCAAGTACTTAAAA